GTTTGACAGTAACTTTATTATCATAGTACACTAAGTAACTTTTACTGTTGTTATCATAACCTAGCTATTGTATGTATTAGCCTCTAGGTTGTAGTTTATACATTTGTTCATTCTGTATAATACAATATGTACTGAATTCTTGTTTATTATCTATTTGATAATGTTTGTTATACTGTTTGTAATATAGTGTTGCAAAATTAATAACAACTCTTAGTGTTTTGTTATGAATAAACATTTGATATTGTACTGTATATACTCAGAATTTCATAAGTAACTTTGCTGATAACAGACACATACATACACTGTTAAAGATAGTCTTATGCATACATTCTACAACTCTGTTCTGTTACAGTGTATTGTGTACTGTTAATCTATGTATTGTTCCTTGACTTTCAATATATGTAGTGAAGTCTTTACTTAGGAACACTGTATTGTTATCACTTTGGAGAGTTTTAACTCTTATACTGTACTGTGTAAATAGTCTTGTTATATACTTTATATATTCTGTAAAAGTATTACTTTTATACCATATAGGTAGCATAGTTACCCATTGTGTAGTGTCATCTATAATGGTAAAAAGATATTTGTACTTACTGTAAGCTTGTACTAGGGCAGGTCCCCAAATATCAATGTGGAGATGATCTCTATAAGATTGTGTAAGAGGTGTTGTTTGTATTTTTGGTATTTCATTGTGTTGTATGTTTGCTTTGATACAATCTGTACACTACACATTTTTATTGTCTGTTATCCTTTGACTTATAATCTTAGGATACTCTCATATGAGTTTGTACAAGTAATTGAAATTGACATGACCCATTTGTTAATGTAAATTAACAATAGTGATTGTGTTAATAGATTGTTTATTATGATGAGAAACTATCATATACAAGTTATTTTGTACATGTATTTCACTAATCTTTGTATGAGTAGGAGAATAAATAATACATTCATTATTTGTTTTTGTTAAAACATATCCTACTTTGTATAATAGCACTTTACTAACAAGTGTGAAGTTCAGATTAGGATAATAGTATATGTTTTGTAGTGAAATCATATTCACCTTAGTATACTCATCAGCTTTGTCTTGTAGTTTTACATTAAATGTTATTACTCTACTTTTGCTAAGTGTGAATAATAATTTATTTGTAATTGTAACATTTATTAGGGTCAAGTTCTAAACGTTTGTAAGACAGAACAAGTATGGAGTAGTGTGTACATTTGTACCAGAGTCCAATATATTAATACAATGTATTAGTTCAGTATCATTGTAATGTATTGTATTGATACATATGTTTGGATCATAACTGAACTCCTTAATAACTTCTTTTGTATTGTCAAATGAGTTCATAAAGTTGTCTACTTACATAACACTATCCTCTTGTACTTTAAATACTGAAAATATGTTAGATTCAGTAGATAGAGTAGATTCAGCAGATAGAGTGGATTGAACAGGTAAGCTGCTAGAACTTGATGCTAAGGCTTCTACAATTGCAAACTCTAGCATTAGTGTTTCATTAACATCTTTAATAAATACTGTTTTGTTATTGTCTCTAATGAATACTGTTACATTAAGTGTAGGTTAAGACAGTATAGTAGTAGTAGTAGAAACAGTAGCTGTTTGCCTATACTTTTTCTTTCAAGCTTCTATTGTTTTACTTATTAGAGGATTTTGACAGTCTTTTAACATATACCTGTACTTATTATAGTTGTAGCATTTAACTTTATTATAAGGCTTTGTTTTGCCTTTAGCTACACTTTTGC